CTTCTGCTCTACCATATAATGGAACTTTCATGAAGCAGGACCGGACGTTCTCTAAAGAATTTGGGTAGAGTATACGAAATTGTTCTTCGTGATTGTAATACCTCCCGTTATCAGACGATAGCTTGCTTCTTCTAATCTATGATTGTTTCTGTTTAAATTCAATACACATTGCTTACTTTTGTAAATGAAACGGTGCAGACATTGTTTAGTTTTCTTACTTATCAATATTTAAATGAAAATGAAACGAGAACGGATCCTACCTTCATGAAATGAATCCATACACTGTGTAAATACGTAACAAACAGCACATAACTCACAATAACAGAACACGTCTGGAGTAATTATGCATCAAGAATTCAAGATAAAGCACCATTGAATATACGAGTGTAATATACAAAAGACAAGTTTGATCTGCTTCTAAACCAAGCAAAGTAGGCATGTTAATCGACCTGCCAATATGCTACTTTTAAATTGTCAAAAAAGGACGTCCTTCTTTGAAATAATCGGAACACATGACCTATTGAACAAATAACCCTAGCGGGTATCTGTTTTTATACATTGCACTCTATAAAACTCTAATCACAGCCAATATAACGACAAGTTCTGATGAGCGGAGAAACAATCATTGTCCAGGTATCTCGGATCTCCAACAATGATGCTGTTAAATCATTCTACTATCGCTCCAGTTCCAGATTCTTTGTCCTCGAGTTTTAGCTTCCCTGTCCTAGATTTTCGGGTGAACTATTCTGACAAAAAGATCGGACACGGTTCATCTTTGCTTATCTTTTTTTCGAACTCTAATATAGTGCTCTTGGCCAGAAATGAAAAAAAAAAATATGGGAAAATTACTTCAACACATAAAATAAATTCAAATTAATCAAATCAGCAGCTTGGATCACAATTTTGATTCTTGTTACTAAAATCTGGCTATAATTATAATATTTGTCTTTAAAAGAAGCAAAGAGACAGGTTGTCTAACGAATATATGCAAGTCGAGTGCAATGAAAACAGTAAACATAACGAATACTGATTAATCTCATAAATCTTATAAACAATAAGGTAAAATTCACATCCCTGGAAATACCAGAGGTGGTATAAACCATGGGGTAAGGTGCCTATATATATGAGGAATAAGTATTCCCTGTCAACCAGTCATACCCGCTGCGAGTCTTCTGTATTAATAAGAGAAAGCCGTAGTCAAATTTGTACAAAACAATGGCCTAACAATTGATTTGAAACATGTCCGTCATAATTCAACGACAGGCTGTATTTTCAACAAAAAGAAGGGAGGGGGGGGGGGGGTCACAATATCGAGCATAAAATTTGCGGAATGTTGAGTTCAAACAAAGTTGTTGAAACCCCTGTAACATCAACTTTTGTCAGTAGCCTGTCTCGGTATAAAACTCGATAGAGCACAGAATATGCTCTTACGTATAATAAGTTGCGATACATAGACATTAGACACCGCATGCTGGTTATAATGAAATGCGTGGATTCGAAAATACCATCAAATAAATGAAACAGATAAGACAGAGTATGTGGTGTTTTTGACTTAATTCCAGATACGAATGAAAATGATTGTTAATTGATAAAACATCATCACTATATCTAAAGGTCGAATTGTAGGTCAAAGTTTTCTTTTTCTATTGTAGAAGGTTTTGAATGCATTCTTCTTGAAAAGAATACAGAAACATGTCGTCTAATAAAAGAGCACAATTTGGTCCTATGGGAATAGATTGTTGGAAGAACTAGTCTCCAAAGACTATATACACATTGTCAATGAAACTCCAGCATGTTTTAATATAAACTTCAAGGTACTTGTGTGTATAGAATCAGAAAGAACAAAGTAATTTTGTAGATGACATAAAAAAATTCCAGATCCATTTTTAAAGAAATATCACAAAGCTTCACAAAAATGTGATTTTACATTTTCTTATAAGTTCTTTCGCGTGTTTGAAAATCTCTATTAATTTTGATTTACTAACCTTCTTGAATGTGTATCTGAAGTTTATAACAGTCATTTTACGGAGTAAAGATAAGGGCTTGGTAGAATATTTACTAGACCCTGCAATGAATCTTTGTTTTTAAGGATTTTTATGACGTTTCTGAATCCAAACAGGTTCAGTAACTCAAATTCACTCCCGTTAACTAGGTGTTAAAGGAATATAAAACTGCAACGTAATTTCGAAGAATTTCATCCTTAGGCCAGCTTTAAAAAATGTTTGTTTGCCCTCTCCCGACCGACTGGCTAAAAATGGCCCGAATCAAAAGTTTTTTTAACCAGCCGGAAACAATTTTTTCCCCCTTTTAACTCCTGATTTTTCTCATTCCTTGAATATGTATGTTAAAATTTTCTAAGAATAAAAAATTTCCCCACCTACCTACCGACTTAATTCCTTTACCCTGAGTCGAGAGAGGGCAAACATTATTTTAAAGATGGCCTTAGATATGGCACTGTAAGTATAAGTTGGATTACTAAATGTGGGATTAAAGCCAAGCTCTTCTAATGCAGTTGCATTGATGAGCCTTACATACAAAGACTATGTTATTACAAGCTAATCAGATGGAACTATCACATACTTTTCATGTTATCTTTCTTATTCTTCTATAACTTCTAGTCTACTAAATATATCATGTATTGTACAGTCATGCATTAATATAATCGATATTCTTTTAAGGAGCCTTTCGTGATAAACTTTTTCTAATCAAAAAACAAAACACTATTTAAGTCTTTTATTTCTAAACATCAATAACAGCACATAGAGGGGAAAAGTTTGCTAGATTGATATTTGAACATTCCTTTGTGATTTTAATTCAATGTTTTCTATATTTTTGTTTCCAGACTGGGTTGGGCAACAATGTTTGTTACTACAATTGTCTACGGAAATACCCCGGTTGATCATCTAAAATAAGTAGAGGACGAGGCAAAGCCAAGCCGACTATGGGGACCATCAACCGAAATATGAACATAGACAGTCAGTACAACTAATAAGAGATTATTTTTTCAAGTTTCATAATGCGAGATTCATCTACGCACAAACTAATTATTATTCCAATATCGGGGTCAGCCATATTGCCGGATATGAATTTTCACAGGATCTACCGGACATAGCAGACTATCACGTGTGAGATTTAAACCAATGAAAGCACGACATTTCGGTAAGAAGGAAAATCAAAGTACATTGTGGAAAAGGTTACAAGTACATTTTAAAATACATATACACGCACTATTCTCAACATCAAAGTCATTTCAGTATTCCAAAAATTAGGACTCTAGTTTATAATTTAGGGCCACTGTGAGAGTCATCGTTGGTATGAACAAATCAGGTGACAACTGTGTCTCAAGGATCAAATGTTTTATTCTACTTCTCAGACTCTATTGACCTGACGAACAAAATATGCTGTAACAGAATATAATAGCGCCAGGGTAATTTAAGATAAAAATTGAATGTTTCGAGTTTAGGACAACGTATTTATATATCATAATCTCTGAAATGTATCTAATTATTCGACTAAAAGTAGTATTGTACCACATCAGGGACAAGTAAACGTCTTTAAAATAAGTAAGAACTACGAATGAAAGAGAGAGTTAATGAATTAAGCATATATTTTGATCGTTAATCCATAAAGGCAAATTATGGCGTTATATAAATTCATTATCGTTGTCTTTTCTAAACTGGAACTACCAGAACCCCCCTGTGTCAGTGGGAATCTTCAATGAATGTATCACTATTTTTTGGAATTAATAAACCGTCTTGAAACTGATGATCAAAGAGAACAGTAGCACCTTCAGTAATTCCCTGTGCTTTATACAGATCCCTGCAGCTGGTATTCTTCAAACACTGGGGGTTTATGCCTCCAAAAAACAACATTTTTTCCGTATTGTAATCTGTTTCACATAATAGTTACGCACATTCTAAAGAAGATTAATTCAGAATATGTTTGAAATGATATTACTGTTTCCTTAAACACAATTTCTGGGCTTTTCTATACACTGATTGTATAGGTTTCTGTCCATGCGTGACCTTGACCTCAAGATGCACGCCTGAAGAGAAACAGAATAACGTGCGAGATGACCTTGTAGGAAGCCTACGTGACCTTGTAGGAAGCCTACCTACATAGTGATCACAAAAATGAGGAATATGTTAAGACAACTACATACTCACACAAAAAAAGTAATAAAAGCAAATTATAGTAAACAACGAATGTCAATATTGCTTAATGTAGGGAATCGTATGAACAGATGAAGAAATAATTGAGGAACAATTCAACATGTACTGCAGTGCAGATTTATTTGTTTGTTTTTTATAGAAAAGCTGAAAAATGTACCTTCGACAAAAGCAAACATTTTAAGCAGAACTATCTATAAAACATAAACTTTTCTTGTAAAACAGAGCACAAAAAGCATCCAAACTTACGGCACTAGATCTTGTGACTCACTTATCTTTACAAGTTTACCTCACCCACTTCCCTGTTTACGGTTACCATGGGAACAGAAGGGTGTTACACATATTTATCTGTTTACTACATGTTCAACTTTCTTTTTAGTTATTGCTTAGATAACATGATAAAATAAAAACTTTTTTCTACATGTATTTACACAAAAATCCTTAAAGCCAAATTAAGGTATTGGGTAAAACTCCATGAAACATAGCAACTGACAAAATAACAAATTACACGATAATTCTCATGTGAATGACAGTATACTGTGATACTGTATAATACATAAATAATCAGTAATGGACGCCTATCTAGGTAACTTCTAGTACTTTCAGTTAACTAGCCGCACTACACTATGGTTATTGGATTTAATGCAGAGGATTCAGGAATGCGAATGTAAAATTTTAAACTTTAATTTATTGCCCAATAATATTCCCTTAAAACAAACACAAGTTTTCAAATGACACCAATGTGGTATGGCTTCGTGAGTTACATTGTTTTCATGATTACAAATTTCAGTCGACAAAATATGTAAACAAAAACAATAATATTTTACCTACCTTACAGTACGTATTAATCTTTCGAATTCTGTTTTGAATGAATAGTAATCTTGGTCTAATCTGTTTTAAAATAAAGGAAATGAATTCAATACATCTAAGTATGGAAATATGGTTATTTCAAAGTGAGTTATATATACAGTAGCTAATAATATAAAGCCATGTAAATTTCAGATTTACAATCACTTTTGACAGTTTTTTTTTAATTCTCGTGTATACATATATATATATATATTATAACATATATTGAACATTTTGCAATTCATGATTATATATAATCGTTTACAAGTGTTGATCATTGTAAGTGCCAGCCTCAGTTAACTATAACGAAACATTACGATGTACACTAACAGTACACGGTGACACCTTTCTCTTTATTGTTACACAAGGATGAACAAACTATAACCTTAACTCCATGAACAAACAAGCCATATCTCCTTCAAGGAAAGGGAGGAACAAATTAATAAGCCACATGCAACTCTTTAAAGAATATAGAGATGAACAAACGAGCCAAATTCTTTAACGAATTTACATAAACAAACTAGCCATAACTCTTTAAACGATTATAGTTTCACGAAACTACCCATAACTCTTTCAAGGATAGGGATGAACTAGCAATAACTCCTTCAAGGATAGGGATGAACAAATTAGCTATAACTCTTTCAAAGATAGGGATGAACAAACTAGCCATAACTCCTTCAAGGATAGGGATGAACAAACGAGCCATTACTCCTTCAAGGATAGGGATAAACAAACTAGCCGTAACTCTTTCAAGGATATGGATTTGCATTCACTGCGTCAGACTGTTATGAAATTAATATTGTCCTTTAATTTTGTCTTAATAAAATAAAGCAATCAATTGATAATCCTTGAATAAATCATACTAATTCGCAAATCTGGTGATGTCGGAGAGTTCCGACAATAAGAAGAAAATTAATGAATATAATAAAATTTCTACACATGTATTTCCGGAAATTCGCGAAGTACAAGAGCGATCGAAGAATTTTGGTAAGGAGGGCGTGACATTTCTTTCAGAGGCAGGGGTCTAGGGACCGCCTTAATCCCTATTGTTTTCTAGATCGTAACAACATGTATAGTAATAATAACGTGTTGAATGTCGATGAAAAATCACCAAACAAACATGCAAATGGGACATGGTATTGCATTATTTCGTGACATGTCACATGGCCGGATTCGAAATGGTTTGGAAATTGAAATGATAAATTAAAATTTAAATTTTAACAATGTTTTCTTTCAAACACAAGTCAGAATTTATTCGCTATCGTTTAAAATGAGGTGGGCACGCTCAAGTTGGACATATTTCAAACGAAATATCGATATATATAGGCTATAGGGCTTATAGGCGGCAAGTATGTGTACTGGCACGTTAGGTCTTTTCCGTTTTGATATGTCTTTATTGATAAAACTTACCGATTACAAAATACGGGAATTTAAATTGATCTAGTAGATGAATAAGCTCATCATGTTCTTAAAATATATTAAAATAAAGTTACCTATAATCTGGTACCGTCGTCATTTGTCATAAAACGCAGACATGTTGCATTACTCCGATACTATGTGACGTCATATACTCTGTGACGTAAAATCTTGAGATTTAGATTTTCATGGTCAATGAATTTATCTCCGATTTTTTTAAAAACAAAGTTGATGTATAATTTTGCCTAGAATCAGTTTCAGATTTATGTTTTCGATAATGTTTCTGGCGCTTTCCTTTACTCGGTATGCAAATTTTTAATCGGCTGCCGTTTTCTCTCTTCAACCATAAAGGAATCTTCAGTTTCATGGCATATAAGCTTGAAAATGAATCTATCAATATATTTCTTGCCTTCCAAACGTGATGAAGACTTTTTGAATATTAATGATGACAGTGATGAATGAATGCTTTGGAAGATTACAATATCGAGTTTGTTACATGCAAACAGAAGCAGTTTGTTTATTGATCTTGAGTAGATTTAGATACATCTTTATAGATACGCTTTATTTTGCCGTCGGAACAAGCACTTGCGCACCTGTCTGACATTTTTGGATTTATATCAATCTACATAATGCACCTGAACCAAATATTTCTCCCTTCTTCATATAACTTACACTTGTGAGGAACGTGAAATGAGGCAATCGCCATCACTTTTAATTGTAACCACATGGTCTATTACAGGCCAACTAATGAACAAATATTTTGTTTTTTGTACTTTTTACCAATCATCTATCTAAATTAGCATTTTCTAGGGTATTTTGACATTCGAAGTCTAATTGACGGATGCAATATCTCTGTGTGTTATGGGTATTTTTTCTGAGAACAAATTAGTAGATACGCATTCCTTGCAGTTTATGAGGCGTTGTTTACACTGCTGCATAAACAGGTCAGAAAATACCAAATACACATGTACCATACATTCCAGCTTCCGCGAGGTTTATTTCGGTGTCAAAGTTTATATTTAACCCTACAAATAATTTTTTAAAAAACACTTCATATGAGGATATAAATCAAACCCACTTAAATGATATGAACTTGACACAAGAAGTTTTATCGCTGGTGAGTAAAACTCAAATGTGATTTGCAAACGTGGGCAGGTTCCCCACATCCAGCAGAAAGTTGACAAAAACGCTTTTTAACGGATTAATAATTAATCAGGCTCCCTACTGACCCAAAGGTTACGCTGCATTTTCGTGTGACATTATAGATATTCAAAAAAGTCATTCATGATTAAAAGGACTGAATTAAAACCTTGATGAAATATTGCGAGTTTGTATGAATTTTTATCTTATCTGCTCCACAAAATACTTCTAAGATTTGCCAAGAATGCTGCTTAGAAATTTTCAAAGCAGAGATCTCTGTAGTGAATTTAGAGTACATCTATATCATCGCTGACTTGTCTGCTTTTTGTTAGCAAATCCCTTAAAATTAACTCAAGTGCAAGTATAAGCCACGTACCACTGGTGTGCAACAAACCGAGTCACAAAGATGGGGGAATTGCAAAACCAAACCACAGATTGTATATATGTCATGTGTCATGTGAGTACATAAGGAAACAGGCAAAAGAGAGATGGGATCGGTACAAAGGGGCATTAAATAATCGCTTTTTCATCAAAGAAAACCATGGGACAAACATTTTTAAAGGAGTTACTGAACAGAAATACGATTATTTATTTTTTTTATCGGTTCAAAATATTCAACAAAACAATCATTATAAGCTGCAGATCTGTAGCTCACCGGTCTGAAAAAAATGGGAATGAAGACCAGGGAAATTCTGGATGGATCTGTAGCTCTCTGGTCGTCCATCCATTTTTTTTTTTCAAGACAAGCGAGCTGTATATCTGCAGTCAGTATAAGTCCTGTTATGAAATCATGTTCAGCTTCAGACTGAACATCAATCAGTCAAACAATAGTTGTCAGAAAGAAGAACTTTCTGTTTTTCAGTGTACAGTGGGACCTCGGTAATCAGGACACCAATAATCCGGACGGATCTCTTGTGTTACACACAATAAATATAAAAGTGAAAAATATGATTTTTTTTATCCATGTAACCATGGAACATTGACCTTTTATTTTATACACCTCTAAACATGGGGATATTTTCAATTCTGAGATATTTTGACATGTTCTTTCACACTGTCTTTGTCGCATATTTTGTATTTATCAATAAAAGTCCGCATTTCTCATTGAAAATAGAAAAAAATGTCAGAGAAACAATAGGCTTCGATTTTGAGGCAAGTTCCATTACATACTAGTATTTCAAGGGAGTGCTCTAAAACACTTCAAATTCGGATTTTCCAAATGATGCAATATTGTGATATTTTCTGTGGTTTCAAAATACCAGATCATATCGCTTAAATGAAAATAGTTTTTAATAAAATGCGTTTTCATTTTCATATTTGTATACAAAATATATCTTGGGATAGTGTGACATGTTCAAAAATTCATGAATTCATTGAGAATATTTTGATGGAATTCAGAATGCTGAATCTTTATCGGTCTGTGTTACAGAGCTCAGAAAACCTGTCTGTTAACTCGCCGAACGCATCCTAAATAATTGCAGCTGATGCACAATTCACTGACGAGCAGCAGAAAGAGGCAGAATGCACAACATAAATATTTTAATACTTCATTAATTATTTGTTCCAATGTCTGCAAGAAATAAAATCATATGCTTCACTTCCACTTCTTTTATTACGAGGACTAGCAGGATTCTGCTTTAAATCAGAAGATTTTTGAAAGATAGTAGTGTTGTCATGCAGATCCACCTTGGTTTTACGTTTTAAAGAAATTACATAAAACATTAATCGTTACATTGGGAACTAACTAGATCAGGAAATGGTCTGGAGTATTGGGAGTCCTAATTAAGTAATAGAATGATCGAGGATTGTCATTTGCATAATTCAACAGACAACAGGCATTTATGGAACAACTTTCATTTCAGGTACAAGATGGTGGAAACTCTACATAAATCAATCAACAAGAAAAAGGGTATATAGCCTGAAACATGCGTCACTGCATGGGATTCTGCTCATTTGTTACAACGATTTCTACAATCCTTTATCATCATGATTCTAAAACAACAAGAAGTGAAATACGATATGCATGCAAGTTCTATAAACAACAATAATAAAACTTAGAAAATGATAATAATCTAAGTAAAACTAAAGATACATTTGACGAAGAAAAATCAGAATATCGTAGCAAATCACTTTCATAAATTCAAGGGATTGTTTTATTTTCTATCACCATTTTATAACTGAGAAAAAAATGTTTTCGTTGCGCTTTATTTTCCCGACAGCCCACAATACACGGGCTTTTCAATGGTGTTCGATTGATTTCTATATTATGCGGTGCATTTTGATAAACATTAGCAAATAACAGTTGGACCATCATTCAAACATATTATATGACATCAAGCATAGAAACATTCTTAAGATCAGGAAGATGGATTTTTTTTACACTCAGCTTGTTTATTTCTAGAATAAAATTCAAATTTAATAAAAATTTAACTTCTTCGGTGAGTACTTCTAAAATAAACCACTTCGATATTATACCATTCAATACCATAAAAAGCTGAATATCATTCCAAGTCATGTTCAACTTTGTTTATCTAATTTGTTCGTAACAAAATTCATTAAAACCATTAGGAAAAGCGCCCCAGGTGATGAAAAGTTTTTAGATATTTAATACATCTTGTTAAAAGAGGGTTTCCTTTTCAAAAAAAAGCTCGTAAATACCATGTGAAGTTTTACCTTGCTATCCAAAAATAAGCAATAAAAACTGATGTAAGTTTTCACTTAACATCTTTCTACATGCCTAATTTTCCATTTTAAATATCGTTTCACTGATTTATTTTGACACATGTTTACTTTTTTAAGTATACATTGTGATATTCAAGCCAAAGAAGAATATCAAACTATTTCAAATGAGAATTTCCTTACTACTTTATCACAATTGGCGAATTGTTTAAGTAACATACATTTAAAGAAGAATGTGATTTAAGTGGTTCATTCATGCAGCTCTCAATCGTAAACATGTACAGCACTAACATTGTGTTGGAGATCGCGCCACTTCGTTCTCAGACTGAGCTCCAAATATCGAGTTTGTTTCTATTTTGAAATTGTATCGCTGAATAATCAATGCTATTGACATCACTGGCTTTTTTGACCTAATTTAAATGTTAAATCTGTTAAATTTGTCATTCAGTTCTTTCATGTAACCATGTACTACATGTGCTTGGTTTGAATATATTTTTTCCTTTAATCAAATTTAATACGAAAGGAATGAAGGGGAGGGGGGTCATTCAATTTACTAAATTCCTCTTCCAAAGTATAAACTTTACAACTGTCATAGAAAAGCAACATTCTATAAAATGATCGGATGCATTTAATTAAAATTAAACTACTAACACCTTTGTCCTTCTATACGTAGAATCAATCGCGTTCTGTTTCATTCCAATAATTGATGCTTCCCAATTAAGTAATTCAAAATGAAAGCTTGACATAACAAGACTGAAAATGTATTTTGGAGAAAATGCCACATCTTTAGAGCAAGAATCAGGGGCCCGTTTTACAAAACAACTTACGACTAAGACCAAAATTTGATTCTGCTTATATCTTTCTAATTTACATGAAATAGAAAATGGTTTTAATATTTTTTAAAGGTATGTAGAAAGATACTTTTACTCTAGCAATTTTAAACAGAATAATTAATTTTGCAAAATTTTACAATCAACTGAAGTTTTTGGTCTTAGTCGTACGTTCTTTTGTAAAACGGGCCCCAGGCCCGTAGAAAGCATTTTCAGTTTTGGGGGCACTACCGAACAGAAATTAGAAAGTCAAAGCGAAAAAGCAAATAAAATAATCATCAGATGTTATAATTTAGGGATCAAAACCTAAATAAGCTTGTTTTCAATGGTATAGTGTATGTTGGCAAATCTATTAGGGGATAAGACCCCATTGTTCCCCCGGGGGTCCTACCTAAAGGACGGAGTCAAAGATCAAATTTGCTGTTTGATCCATTTCTATCAAGTGCTACAGAGGTTTAAATTCCACCAGGATTTGTGATATGGTTTTAGCAAAATTAAGATTTTGATCTTTGGGAAATGACCTTAAGTCAGCATCATGACACAATTTAATTAGGGTCATATGGAAAACAAAATACATGTACTAAACTTTAGACTAAATCCAATCCAAGATTTTCGCTTCAGAATCACTTCTGAGAGAGGGACAAACAGACTGTCACACCAAACTAAAACAGTTCTCTCTTTTGGAGGACAACATACTACTAAGTATATCAGTTTGTCAAGATAAGTGAGCAGCCATCAGTGAAATAGAACAGATCTTCATTAATTGTAATTGTTTGATATCCTCGTAAATCAAACACACTTAAAACGGACAAAGATTGTTCTAAATCCACGGGACCAGATGCCGAGTGTACAAAACAAATACTGTTCCAGATGTGTGTCCTTTTCATCATTCCTATCTAATACATATATTTATTGGAGAGGGTCCGTGCACTTATATCTGTTTATTGAATGTTTAAGCAAAGCTTTCAAGAGACTCCTTAAGAGAGATTTCTATCTTTCAAACAAAGTATTAGCTGAGGAATATACATGCTTCGCACGAAAGAATCCTGAATATGTGTTATTCGTTGCACGGAACATTTAATTAAGCAGGCTTGAAGCAATAATGAGATATAAATTGGTGTTAGAAACCAGCCTTCTGTGGTTTCTTTCTTTTCTCTCTCAAACCGACACTGGGGTTCCGTTGCTTGGAATGAATCAATATTTTCTCCAATGCAGCATATCGTAAATTATAATTTCTAAAATATACTTTTTTTTTTATTTAAAAAAGGTTTCAATAACACTGGAAAGCATACATAAACAATGGAATTCATAAAGAATTTAAAATGTGAAATTTGAATGATTATCGAATTGCATAACACTGTTCTATAAATAAAAGTAATAGTACTTACATAATGAAGAGGAACTATACATCCCGACGTAGACGTAGCATTAACTCCCAAGGAGCGTGCCGATAGCGGGATCCACGGAGTCTAAATTGATACAGTAATGATCATGACAGAGTGTTATACATTCCGTACTGACTCTTCTTGTGCTGGCAAACAAAATAAAGTAGCATTATTACCTCTAAAACCCTTCACATCAGATAGCCCAATATTTACTTCTGAAGATTTTCTGTTGGGTATAATTCTCCTCCTCGTCTGTAAGAGATAAGTTTCTTCTTGATTTTTTGGTTCTATCAATTCCAGGAACCAACGAAACAAAGAGTGTGGTTTAATACGAAGCTCTGATATCAAATGTAATTATTTTGGCCTCCCAGGAATTAATGCTCCAGGAGTGCGGATTATTGCGTCTTCTTTCTTATTTAACACCTTTGATATGAGTTCCAATAAAATTGATGGTGCAAGAATTGTAGAAGGTGCCAGAGTTTCCTGAAAATCGGATTAATTTCACTGCAGGTCACTGGGACATTGACCTTTGGCTAGGGTATCTTTTATGACATTCTTCAAATTTCTCTGGAAAGTATTCCTTATTGTGTAAATAGTCGCCCACTCTTCACCACAGATGTGCACAATCAACTCAGGTTTTTTTCTTCTTCCAAACCAAATTACGAAGCACCTATACACAATAAAAAAAACCCACATACTTTGAAGCACTGACGGATTTCGCTCGTCTGTTCTTAGATCTGGTTTAAATTTATACAAAAAATAAAGTGTATTGTGAAAAAAGTTCGGGATATCTGCCTTATTTTTTTTTATACTCTTGCTTTATACCCACCTTCGCTTCAAACTCTTACAATCTTCATTCAGAGGGAGGAAATCATTAAATTTTTTATCAAGATGAGAATTTTGCATACCCTTAAATGAATTACCTTAGTAATTTATTGATTATAATTTTTTGCATACACTTTGGGTCGGCAGCCTCCCCTGCCGTGTTCAGATATGCCTGCGGTCGTTAGGTCTGAAATTCCTGCTTGTTACCTGATTGCAGTACTTTGATCTTTTCAGTGTGTTCTAACAAAGTAGGTTCATTATAAAATATTGATTTGCCCTTGTAGAAAAGTTGCTTCCTGGATTGATTTTGAGAATTTATTACATATGTATATGCCTTAAGAAAGATGTTTCATTAGCTTAACTACGATGTATATATAGAGATCTGTCCCCGCCGTGAGATAAATTCACAGAGAGAGAGAGAGGGGGGGGGCTAGACACAGAGAGAATACTCATATAGATATGTTTATTAATTATTCCTATTGGGATTGAACATATTTCATTTTTTTTCTTGCTAATGAATTCATAAAGTCCATATTATTAGTTCAAAAATTTTATATACACTGTATATCGCATGTCCTAAAAAATATGTTTTTTAATTTTATTAGTTATCATAAAAAGCAGGGAGTACGTGATACGTATGGTTGTAAACAATCAATATTTCATAATTAAAAATATATTTCTATAGGTATTTACGCCTGTGATGGGATGGGTTGAGTCAAAAATCTCGTATTTTAAACAGTTGTTTGGCTGTAATAATAATCAAGACAATGTCACGGTCCCGTGAGAAAAGCTGTATTTCACAAATGGTCGATTTTCTTGCGTTTCATTTTTACATAGATCTCTGCTTTACAACAAAATCATGCAAATTTACCAGTCGTGTAATTAAGAATTTTATTTATTAGAACTATAAAGTTTCAAATTATCAATATCTGCCCGAAGAATAACTTCAGAGTCATTAAAAACACATCAATGAATTGGATTCCAAAGCAAAAAATACTCAATATTACATGACAAATGTTTGCATGGCAAACCCTCAATAACTTTATTTAAATAGATTTTCTGAATCGAACAGGATAGAAATAAACGTGTTATGTAGGTGTTGATTCTTGTTTCAGCGAGATGGCTTAATCATTTTAAAATTTCATAAATATTTTTAAAAGTTGTAATCACGTAGGCTCTTGTGATGCATCTAAAAAAAATTCTGCTCGGTTTTGCATTTTCAATATATTATTAGATTAGCGTATAAAAGCAGACAAAATCAATATTTTTTTTGTTTTGTTTTTTAAGTTAAACTAAATGTGCATTCCAGTGTGTTTACACAGAACCCTTAGTTAAAACAAGGTTTACATATCCTGTAGATAAACACACACGCTTCCGCAAAACTTAAAGGTATAGTGCATGACGTACTTCAATTAATTATATCTATATAGAACCAATCCAGATCGGGCAATGCATTAGTATATGCAGGCTTGGAGTATCCCATATTAATCAAATCAAACACAATTTAAGACACAAGTATTTAAAATGTCTTTAACCTTTGCTAAAGGAACGCCTTTTATTATATCCAGACCTACGGATAGTTATATATACACTGTCATATCATTTGATAGCATCTAGAGCAGACAGGTAATTCAATTACCATTTAAAAGAAAATGCAACATTAAAATCCATATAAAATTATTTCAAAAGAATAAAATTTTCATTCAGAATAAGAACAAAGGATGAAGGAGAAGCAACAAAGCAGTGTAGTAACATGTGACGACCAGTGCTGATAGGATTTATAAACAGAAATACTGCTGGAGGCACTTACCCGGTCTTCTATACTTGCAGTCTCGAGAAATGTCAAGGTCACCTGAAATTAGACAAGTTTTTCAACGGCGAGATTTATTTTATTTCTCTTTTAAACAGTTCGAGAGCAGTGTCTTAGTGTATAACACATTTTGATGTATTTCTTTAATTGATGATTGAGATTTCCTATCCCCAGTAGACCATGCAGGTAATTGCAGATCTTTAACACCATAAAGTGCACAATTTTACAAAAGATACACTTTTTACAAAAATCGTAAAAAGCTTTCATTTAAAAGACAAACCAATAGGTGTAGATGATGACATCTGGGCTGGGTGTACAAACAACGGGTAATTGAAACTTCAATTGTTGAACCTAAAAAAAAAATCTTTTGAAAATAAATAGATAAAAAAAACCAAAACATTTTTATGCAAAAATATAAATTGTCGCTGTCTATTTTCCCGACATTTTAGGGAAAGAGACTGATATGACTTGTTTTAATGATGTTGGTTGTGTTTTAATTTGTTTTGTTGATGGTGGCTGTAATACGGTATATAATTTGTTTTGTTGGTGGTGGTTGTAATGTATAATTTGTTTTGTTGATGGTGGCTGTAACTTCATAGTGGTTGTAATGAATAATTTGTTTTGTTGATGGTGGCTGTAATATATAATTTGTTGGTGGTGGTTAATTGTTATATATAATTTGTTTTGTTGATGGTGGTTGTAATGTATAATTTGTTTTGTTGATGGCGGTTGTAATGTATAATTTGTTTTGTTGGTGGTGGTTGTAATGTATAATTTGTTTTGTTGAAGGCGGCTGTAATGTATAATTTGTTTTGTCGATGGTGGCTGTAATGTATAATCTGTTTTGTTGATGGTGGTTGTAATATATAATTTGTTTTGTTGGTGGTGATTGTAATATATAATTTGTTTTGTTGATGGTGGCTGTAATATATAATTTGTTTTGTTGATGGTGGTTGTAATGTATAATTTGTTTTGTTGATGGTGGCTGTAATGTATAATTTCTTTTGTTGATGGTGGCTGTAACATGATGGTGGTTGTAATGTATAATTTGTTTTGTTGATGGTGGTTGTAATATATAATTTGTTTTGTTGATGGCGGCTGTAATGTATAATTTGTTTGGTTGATGGTGGCTGTAACTTAATGGTGGTTGGAATGTATAATTTGTTTTGTTGATGGTGGCTGTAATGTATAATTTGTTTTGTTGTGATGGTGGCTGTAACTTGATGGTGGTTTTAATGTATAATTTGTTTTGTTGATGGTGGTTGTAATATATAATTTGTTTTGTTGATGGCGGCTGTAATGTATAATTTGTTTTGTTGATGGTGGCTGTAACTTGATGGTGGTTGTAATGTATAATTTGTTTTGTTGATGGTGGCTGTAATGTATAATTTGTTTTGTTGATGGTGGCTGTAATGTATAATTTGTTTTGTTGAAGGTGGCTGTAACTTGATGGTGGTTGTAATGTATAATTTGTTTTGTTGATGGTGGTTGTAATATATAATTTGTTTTGTTGATGGCGGCTGTAATGTATAATTTGTTTTGTTGATGCTGGTTGTAATGAATAATTTGTTTTGTTGATGGTGGTTGTAATGTATAATTTGTTTTGTTGATGGTAGCTGTAATGTATAATTTGTTTTGTTCATGGTGCTTGTATGCTGTTTTACGTCCCATTCGAGAATTTTTCACTCAGATAGAGACGTCACCATGTACCGGTGAAGGGCTTCAAATTTTGAGCTTTACTCGGCACTTGGTGGTGGCTGTAATGTATAATGTTTTGTTGATGGTGGCTGTAATGTATAATTTATTTTGTTGATGGTGGTTGCAATGCATTTGCTTTGTTGATGGTGGCTGTTATGTATAATTTATTTTGTTGACGGTGCTTGTTGATCGTAATTTTATTTTGGTGGTTGTGATGTCGTTGATGTTGGTTTTTGGTAATTAATTGTTTTTGTTGATGAATGTTTTAGTGAGTAATTTGTTTTATTGATGACGGTTTTAATGTATATATTTTGTTTGTTGATGGATGTTATAATACATGATTTGTTTTGATCATGATTGTGCAGCATTATTTGTTTCATTGATGACGGTTGTGGGTTATAATTTGTTTTGTTAATGGTGCTTCTGGAACATTGTTTTGTTTATGGCTGTTTGGTGTATTGTTAATATTTATTCATTTATTTATTTATGAATAAACACCTATACACTTTTTGTTGTGACGCAATAGCTCAAACAATTTCGAAATTTATAATTTTAAATTCAGTACAGAAGAGGAAGACAATTAAAAATTGGGGGGGGGGGGTTAATATCAATTTGCCTGCCTGTCTGTAAGTACGTATGAATGTATACATGTATCTATTAACACATTTGTAAATCAAAACCTCGAATATATTTTCAAATCACTTTGTCTGCCTTTCTCTATATATGTCTACATTTAAATCCATAGTGACACAATAACTCATATAGATTTCATCTTACCTTCATGTATTTCATTTTTTTTTTAACAAAAAGAGTGGTTCATAAGAGGAAGACGCCCTTAAATTTTGTTGCCCGTTAACGTTTAGCCGTCCGTTCGTCACACTAAATAACATTGTCTAACGTCTTCAAATTTTGTACAGAAATAATTTACGATAAGAGAAAGGCGTACACCTAGGAATTTTGTGGGTTGTGTTGCTTTGTTTGTCTGGATGTATGTCTATATATGTATATCTGTCATGTGCAATGACGAAGAACTTCATTGTTACAATTTCAAATATTATACAGAAGGAGATGATTATAAGAAAAACCGCTTATATTTTTTGTTATCACATACATGTAGTTTCGTCTCTCTGTATGTATGCTTAAATCTTAAATATTAATAATTCTAACACATATATGAGTAATTCCTTATATGCTATATTTTGTTCTATCAATACTGTAAAATTAGAACAGCACATTCAGGGACCCTTTTTTGACAGTTTTCTGATTTGTTT